ACTGCCCCCCCACCCACCTCTCTACACCCAGTGTTTCTTACGTCTGTTCACATCTTACGGTCAGTTCAGTTGTCAAGGACTACAGTGAAGGTCAGTGTCTCTCTCTCTCTCTCTCTCTCTCACTCACTTGACGTTTCCATGGCGACAGAGCGCAGCATCTCTGCTGTCACCTGTTACACGTCAACACCCAGACAACTGTCAATAAATCCTGACTGTCAACCTCTGGAGCGGGGGCTCCGAACTGCACCAATAATCACAAACAAACCGGCCGTCGACTCACCACTGAGACCAGATGCTGGGGGGAGACGGGGGCGTGCTCCGGCTGCACCTGGTGATTTGGTCGGACCAGAAGGTCGAGGGGTCGATATCCCACAGGCCGATGAAGGAAACGAGACCCTGGGAGGGCGCCACCTTCAGACCCGTCATAGTGTTGGTGATGACGATGGAGACGGTGGCGGTGGGAGGGGTCGACCTGTGGGTGAGGAGGGGGTGGGAACGGGCCGGAGTGATGTGAAGGGAAGACAGGACGCTGAGGGTCAACAGCAGAGGATTCTGGGAAGACGGAGGAAAAGGACAGAAATCAGGACACAGCAGAGTCAGAGACTGTCGTCACACACAGCGTTTCTTCCTAGCGACAGCATCCTGGTTGCTATGCGGAGCTCCAAGCAGGGGCCGGAATCTGATTGGACAAGAACCGTCAGCCAATCTCAGATGAATTTCAGAAGGTTGGCCATGAACTCAGCAGGGAGAACAATGAGGGATTAGAACCGATCCTGGACAAGTCAGAACAACAGACGCACACAAACACAAACAGTTCCAGGAACTGATCTCTGATCTGATCACCACCAGTACAACCAGTGGGACACTGACCAGTGTTTCAGAACCACCGGTTTAAGTTGTTGTTCAAACGTCTGGAAAAAGAAAGAAAAGTTTCAAAAGAAAAAAAATCGAAGGATTTTTAACCTTTTTAAAATCTTTTTCTCAGTGACACATTTGACATTTGAGTTTTTATTGAAAGATGAAAATTAAAGGAAATGTTTGTAGAAAAACTACAGTCGTTGTTTGACAGGTGTGGTGTCAGCTCTGAAACAGTTCCAGTAACAGTTCCAGTAACGATTATGTCCCGTCACAGCAAACGTCAGAACAATGAAGTTAGAGTTTAGACGATTGAAACCACGGTGTGCTAAAGGCTAACTGTCAGACCCTGACACACACACACACACACACACACACACACACACACACCTCCTTCCCTTCACCGCCGTCTTGACAACAGATGCAGTAAAAACAGTCTCTTCCTGTTTTTGTTTTTTTTGTTTTTTCATCTTACCTGAACGCAGCAGCTGCGTCCACAGCACCGTCAGCAGCAGGAACATGGTCGACCGTCTCCTCCACCTCCTCCTCCACCTCCTCCTCCTCACAGCCGTGTGTGTGAAGCTCCAACCGGAGCAGACGCCGTGTGTGTGTGTGTGTGTGTGTGTGTGTGTGTGTGTGTGTTTTCCTCGCGGCTCCTGTAACTCTTCGTCCCCGGGCTGAGGAGCTGCTACAGCGGCCTTAGTGTCGGAGGAGCAGCAGCCGTGCAGCTGCAGCAGCTCCACGGGGGAGGAGAAGGAGAAGAAGGAGAAGGAGGAGGGGGGGCTGGTCCTTGTGAGGAGGCCAGGAGGTGATGAAGATGAAGAAGGCGCGGATGATAAGGATAATGAAGACGGGCAGAGGAGGAGGGGCGTGGTCAATGGGAGGGGGCGCGACCGTCTTCACAACAATAAAAATAGAAATTATTTTTTAATATAATTCTTTACAGTCTCTTATTTTCGGTGTCGGTTCAATATTCTGTATGAAAAAACCGCGGTCACTTTCCGAAGTAAACAAAACAACAAGGTGTACAGAAGAACAGCGTCATTTTAGAGTATTCTAAAATACGTGTTTAAGTAAATACAAATAAAATACGGACATGTGACGAGTGAAGGCAGAACGATGGTCAGGTACCAGGGGAAACCGTTCATGGTTCGTTATAAACTGTTTGTTTATTAAAGTGAGACGTTTGTCTGACTCTCCTCTTCAAGAGAAGCTCCTTAGGGAAGTGACGTCAGTCATTACTCAGGAGCACGTGACTTAGTCCAACGCCTGCCTTTGGAAGTGTTACAGAGAGGTAGTGGAGATGGAGCATGGTCTCTTTGGCACCCTCTTGTGGTCAGAGTTAAAGGGTACTCATGAATTTGGGTTTAAACTCGTTAATTAAGACTATTTTGAAAAGACAAAAACGTCCATTCATTTTCATGTCATTACAACTGTCAATAGAATCGATCATTAATAAATATTAACTGTGGGAAGAACAACAACGGAGTGAACCGTAAAACCTGGGGCTTCACGGGGATTGAAATTGTATTTATTGGACCCGCTAAGAAAAATAAAATAAATTTGAACATTTATAATTTTGTAACAGAAACTTTATTTCTCTGTATAGTGAAGGTCCAATCAGAACCAACATCTCAGTACGGTCCCAGAGACAGTTTATATTCAGAAGCCACGGAGCGCCTCCTAGTGTCAGCAGAAATATTTGATACATTTATGAACTCCTCATGACCACAGCTACAGTCTGAAGTGCGTTTCCATGGTAACAGAGTGACTGTAAACATTGACTTTGGACGGAGAGGCGACATTTGGAGCTGATATCACACACAAACCACGCGCTAATGCTAAGCTACCCGGAAACTCCGAGTCTCTTCTTCCTCTGAGTCTCTTCTTCCCACAGCACCAAACAACCACCGTCAGAGAACGGACTTCTTCATACTGAAGTCTTCTGACGTGGCTTTACATCCGAATGAGACTCACGATGTGTTAAAGTACAACTGGTTCAACTTCCTGTTAGCACGGCGGCTCCAACGCCAAACACGTCAACATCCTGTTTTCAACTGAACGCAGTGAGATGCATTACTGCCCCCTACTGGGCCTGTTTTGTGTGTTTTTCACTGGTAGCTGTAAAGAAGAGAAGCTGTAAATCTGTCAGCAGAGAAAATCGAGAATGTCTCGAGCTTCGGAACGACTCCGACTGCTGAGCGGTCACCTCGACAGATCTCGGGCTACAGTCGTATCCTTGTGTTTGACGGACGGTCAGACGTGGATCAGATCAGGGTCTGTAGTTAGTCTGTAGTTAGTCAGTCATGTTGCTGTGACAGCAAATCAAGTAGAAGCCAAGTTTTGGTTTGTTTTTTTCAGTGGTTGCAGCGTTCGTTTCTGTGGTAAAGGTTAAATATTAACAACGGTCACATGACCATTTACGTATCATCATTATTATTATTGTTGTTGTTGTTGTTGTTGTTTCTCCCTCTAAAACAGCGACTGTCATAATAGACTTTTCTAAATGAAAACTGCATCGTGGTACAGTTCGGTTCGGTTCAGTTCTTGTCTTTGACTCCTTCCTCCAGAGAGCCTCCTCCACCTCTGGACTCCAGCCTCACAGCCTGAGGTCAGCGCTGCTCCAGAAAGAAGAACATTTGAAACACTTTTGTCATTTCACTGTAAAACTGTGTAGTCAATACAGTAGTACATGTAGATATATAACATATATGTGGATATATAACATATATATGGATATATAACATATATGTGGATATATAACATATGTGGATATATAACATATATATGGATATATAACATATATGTGGATATATAACATATGTGGATATATAACATATATATGGATATATAACATATATGTGGATATATGTTATATATGTGGATATATACCATATATGTGGATATATAACATATGTGGATATATAACATATATGTGGATATATAACATATATGTGGATATATAACATATATGTGGATATATAACATATATGTGAATATATAACATATATGTGGATATATGTTATATATGTGGATATATAACATATGTGGATATATAACATATATGTGGATATATAACATATGTGGATATATAACATATATGTGAATATATAACATATATGTGGATATATGTTATATATGTGGATATATAACATATATGTGGATATATAACATATATGTGGATACATAGACTAGTATATGTTGGTGTATATTCATTCATCTCTTCGTTCGTCTCCTGCAGATACACTGTTGGAGACCACGTCCTCACCTCGGAGCAGAGACACTTCTATGAAGACAACGGTTTCATCCTCATTAAGGGTTTGGTTCCAGAGGAAGACATCTCCAGGTTCAGGTGATCGACCCGAGACGTCCTTATGGTCACGACAACAAACCTCGGTCTGACTTCACTCTGCCGCTTCCACAGGAAGGAGTTTGAACGCATTTGTCGTAAAGAAGTCAAAGTTCCAGGTCTGGTGGTGATGAGAGACGTCGCCATCGCAAAGTCAGAGTTTGTTCCGGACCAGAAAGCTGTAACAAAAATCCAGGACTTCCAGGAATGTCCGGAACTCTTCCGCTACTGCACGCTAGCGCAGGTACCACAGGTCGACCGCCGGTCCGTGACCCCTCCCCCGGGAACTCCTCCCCTTGATTACGAAGCACTTCCACAGGCCGTGACTAACATGGTGACCTTTGACCTTCCTCCAGATCCTGAAGTACGTGGAGTGTTTCACTGGACCGGACATCATGGCCATGCACACCATGTTGATCAACAAACCTCCTGATGCAGGTACCGCCAACCACAGCTTTGACATCCTGCCTGTTGAGCGGTCACTGTGCCTTCAGTGTACTGCCCTCTGGTGGCTTGAACAGCGTGTTCTGAAGTCCAGCGCTGTCTGTTTCAGGTAAGATGACGTCCCGTCACCCCATGCATCAGGATCTGCATTATTTCCCGTTCCGACCAGCAGAGCGCATCGTCTGCGCCTGGACGGCGATGGAGCGAGTGGACCAACGGAACGGCTGCCTGGTGGTCTTACCAGGAAGTCACACGGGAACGCTGCAGGAGCACGACTATCCCGACTGGGAGGTACACACACACACACACACACGTATATATAAACAACATTGACTGCAGTGACCCTCATGGACTGTAGGGCGGCGTTAACAAGGCGTACCACGGTGTGAAGAACTTCGGTCCACAGCAGCAGCAGCCCAGAGTCCACCTGGAGATGGAGCAGGGAGACACCGTCTTCTTCCACCCACTCCTCATCCACGGCTCCGGCATGAACACAACACAAGGCTTCAGGAAGGTACTGCGCTACCCACAATGCACCTGGTGATCCAGCCTTCAGCTCCTGCCAAAGACACAGCTCTGTGTGTGTGTGTGTGTGTGTGTGTGTGTGTGTGTTCCAGGCGATCTCCTGCCACTACGCCAGCTCTCAGTGTCATTACATCGATGTGGAGGGAACTTCACAGGAGAACATCGGGAGAGAAGTTCTGGAGATGGCCGCCAAGAAGTACCACGTGGACGGACTCTCCTTCAGCGTAAGACTGGACTGGACTGGACTGGACTAAAGTGGACTGGACTGGACTAAAGTGGACTGGACTGGACTGGGGGGGACTGACCAGGGACGGGACTGGACTGGGTGGGACTGACCAGGGACTGGACTGTACTGGGTTGGACCGACCAAAGACTGGACTGGACTGAAATGAGCTGGGTCAAGATTGGACTGACCAGGGACTGGACTGTACTGGGTTGGACCGACCAAAGACTGGACTGGACTGGGGTGGGACTGACCAGGGACTGGACTGGACTGGACTGGACTGGACTGGGTCGGTGTCAGGAAACTTTCTCTGTTAGACAGGACTGTAAAAATGCTGTTAGTTCAAAGCCCAGTTTCCTAACACACACACACACACACACACACACACACACACACACACACACACACACACACACACACACACACACACACATACGAGATCTCAAGTTTTAAAAGTTGTCCTTGCAGTAAAGTGAGTTCAGAACAACGGTTCCATTCAGATCTGGACTGAGGAACTGCTCAGAACCTTAACCTTTTACAGTCACGTGTTCACGCAGCACTGATTGGTAAAAACTGCTCCAAACAAAGGCTCTCCACCAATAGAAAGCCTGTACCTGAGTACTACACCAGTACTACACCAGTACTACACCAGTACTACACCAGTACTACACCAGTACTACACCAGTACTTCACCAGTGCTACACCAGTGCTACACCATGGTACTTGTAGAGAGAGTCTTGGTATTTCCATAGTTGAACAAATCACATCCCATCACATCTCACTGAGCTGTTCTGCT